GAAGTCAGCAGTTAGAAACCACCATTCGCTCCTTGGGAGAAAGAGGCTTTCTACTCCCCATCAAGGGATCCAGTCTAGGAAACCCACAGGGGCAGTTCTACCCTGTCTTCTGGAGTCTCTATGAGTCGGAATTGGACTTGATGGCAGTGAGTTTTTTAACTGCCTCCTAGACGTCATAAATGAAGCACGTTTAATACAAAGCCTTGCAGACACTTCCCAGCCATCCGACCTTGGAAGCATGTTTTGCCTTTGCAACTGTCCACACTGAAAATCTGCATGTTATCCTTCATTCTTTCTCGCTTACCATCCATATCCTATCTAATACCTATTTCATCAGTCTCAGCAATCTCAAACTATAGTTCCTTATTAAACTTGTCACTTTTCTCTTCCTTTGGACCACCTTGCCTGTGGTCACATAAAGAGGTGCTGGTTTCCCTAAATTCCAAATCTTTTAGCAGGAGCCTTATGACGAGGAAGAAAGGGCTGGAAACGAAGACCGATATCATGTGATAGATACAAAACCTTCAATGCCTTGTTAAGTACATTTTGAAATAACATTTTTTTAAATCCTATTTAATTTTTTGAAATAAATAGGCTGTGGAGACCTAACAAAGAAAAGTTTTAAAAGGAAAAAAAAAAACAATAACTAGAACAGTGAAGGTTTTTGTGTTTTGTTTTGTTTTTTCCTTAAAAGTAGCTTTGCCCAACCACACAGTCCAAAAAGAGACAAGAAGCTGGCTTCAAAGGGCCCTCCCATGTTTTCTAAAATGGGTGGGGTGCTCAGGACCTGCGATAGCACAGTTCCCTGAGGATTCAAAAGGATTTTTGTCATTGCTGTTAGGTTTGGGGGCAAAAACGCCAATTTTCTTCTTGTCACAAAAGATGAAAATATTAAATGAACTCTTCTTAAAACTTCAGTTGCCTTATTATATTGTTGTTACTTTGCTTGACTGACAAATTTCCTAGCAGCTACTACCCCTGGCTGCACACACCCTCGGTGACATTAGACTGAATTGGGTGGCCTGACTCACACAAAGTGCCTGTGCTCTAATTGGTCCATTGGGAATTTTCACTGCCCAGGAAAATGGATCGTGCATTATTTATCAACAGAAGTCTTTCAAAAGTGCCTAAGTAGATCTTAGGAGAAAACATGTGTTCTATAAGACCAGTGGGATAGAAGTCACTTCTGGTTTTTTTCTCACGAGTTAGTAATGACAGGGGACTTATTTATCTATCTAGC